CAGAAGACAGTGCAGATTCCTGGGAAGTGAAATGGGAAGTTGAAGACCACATTATGATGAGGTTTAACCACAGGCTGTTTCAGTTCTGCATAGGTTTCCTCATATTTAGACACTAAATATGCAGACTTCTGGCTGGCAGGCCCATGATGCAGCAGTGACTCAGGTTTCTTAGAGCTTCTGCTCCTGAGATTCAGTTCTTTGTAGTCAAGAAGATACCTTTAGATGTTGGATTTAATTGCATATGCTCTCCAGCCTCCAATTCGGAAGATGGAACAGACCTTCCGCTGCATGTAGGTCGGTTGCTTTGGTTACAAGCTGTGGGTACAGTAGCCTCCAAGGCCCCATTAGTCTTTTTGGAGTGAAGGGAGGAGGAGAGTTTTGGACCCAAATCTTTCAAGTTTCTTTACCTTGTCAACATTTAAGAACAATTTACTTACATAGATCTTATTACCTAAAAAGGCCAGTAAAGACTGTGAATCAATATAGTGTTTTTGCTAATGGGAAGATTTTAGAGAATTGAATAGCCTTCTAAAAAATCCTTTATCTCTGGTTTTTAACTATGTGGTCAGGTTTATTTAAGATGCAGCTTGCCCTCATCCCTTTTCTTCTTCTCAGCCAGGCTTTTACTCTATCTGGTAACAGATATCTGGAGACTCAAATTGCTGGCTCAAACTAGCATTTATTATTAGCTACCATAAGGATTTGGCACTGGTATTTAATTTCTTCTACCAAGACTAAATATTCCTGGATTTTATGACCTGGTCCCCAATAGTATACACCTTCCAGGGCTTGGCCTCTGCAGTCTCATCGCATCTTATTCTTTGCCGTGCCTCTTCCATTAGAACTTCTGACCTGGCTGGGAATAAAAGGGAAGAAATATTCACTCCTTCATAGCGGGATCCTGCCCTGGGTTATACTAAGCACTTTATATGTTACCTCATTTTATTCAACAATTCTGTAAGATATTTTTATACCTATTTACAGACTGATTCATCTAAAACATTTATTACTTTTAATAATGTATTGATTAATTTATCCAAAATATTTAAGGTGCTGTTTAAGGTGCTGAGGATACCACAGTGACTACCAGATGAGGTCCTGGCTAAGGCACAGAGAAGTTAATAACTTGCCCAAGGTCACACAGCAAGACAGTGACAGCTAGGATTTAGAAATAGATCTAATGGATTCCGAAGGGATGTGTGCAACCCCTATTACATCATGCTGCTCTTTGCATATACTGCATGTTCTCTGTTGTGACATAAATCAAGCTATGAAAATAGGCGAAACACCAGGATTTCTTTGTTAAAAAGATTCTTGATGAATCCAAGAAAGAAATCTGTCTCGGTGCTGACAAGCACACCTGCCCTATAAATGCTTCTCCTCTCTTCCCCTCCCCCGGTCCTGCTTTCTGTCCACCCACTCATACCTGGGTCTAAACTGGACAGCGTGGCCTGCTTTGGCATTTGGATGTGTTTATGCTTTGAGGACTGGGAGAGTTTTGTTTGTTTTCTTGGCTTCCTGAACATTCCTTGCCCACTTGCAAGTTCTTTCTTGTAGCACAATGGTGAGTAATGTGTCGTTAACATTGTAATGTGGTCATGCGAGTTGGAATATTTTTTTCTTTTCCCCCCGCTTCTCTCTGATGAGTATGTGAGTGGGGACTCTTGGGTCAAATTGCCTTCTGTAGTTAATTCAAATAGAGAAGCCTTTCTGTATTCAGAGAACTAGAAATATTCTAAAGGTTGGGAAGACTATTAAAATGCGGTGTCTTCTGCCCAGCTGAAATTCAGTTTCATTAGCTTTCTAGGTTTATTCTTTAACTAATGTGATCCAAGAGAGTACTTGTTTTAGATTATGGCCATCATCACCATGTGCCATATCTGAGATGAATGGTGTTTATTCTGGAGTTAAGAGCTTAAAAAGAGGCACAAGGATTTTTTTTTTTTGTGAGCCTTACGTAGTAGAAAGCATTAAGAAATGCTTCAGTCTGTGAGGGTGAGGAGCCGAGTTCCAGCTTGAGTTCTAGGGATTGAGTAGGTGGGATCAAGGTTGCAAGTGTTAGAACTAGTTAGTATTGGGGATCCGGTCACTTTAGTTTGGGGATTCAGGAGTGTCTGGGCATGGCTCATGAGGTTAATGAGGTGATTTATATAGCTTTGTCTAACCTAGTGCTTGGTACTTTACTAGTGCACAATAAATGTTAGTTAAATATCTTAAACAGGTACTTGAATGTTGAGTGTTGTCAGTTTGTTTTTCTTGGGCAGCTTCCTCGTTACTAAATATGTTCTTCTTTAGAAGAATATTTATTGATCCTTAAACTGTGGGTAAACCATTTGGGAAAGGGATTGAGGTAACAACGATTTATAGTGCCAGATTTTTACTGAGATTGTGGTCTTAACATTTACGGATTGAATCAGTTAGGCCTAGCATTGAAGGGGAAATCTGTGATTTTCCATTGCCGGAGTCAGTCCTGTGCTTTTTTTGATAGAAATAACTTCTTGACCCTTTGGTAGGACTGAAAATGCTTTTTTTTCAATTCTGGTTGCACTGGGTTTGACTTTTGATATTTGAGAGAGTTGCCTCTGATGTTTCCTTTTATCCCCCTCCATTTGTTTTCAGTGAACGAGCTAATATATTTGAAAGTATTTTGCTGTCACTACCAATAATAATATTAAGATAATAATGGGATAGGACTCATTTTTATAAGGGTTGGTTTCCTGGATTAATGTCAAGAAGAAAAACGCAGAGGAAAATGGGATATTTGCCAGATGACTTGTGTACTAATTGATACTTTTTATACTTTTTGTGGAAGGGAGAAGGAAAAGCAGAGACCTGTCACCCTGAGAACCTGGCCTGGTGCTATGTCATCGTGAACGGCTGCCTGTACAACTTTGATGCCCTCTATGGTGGCAGGAACGTATAACAGGATTTGTCATGTGTTTGACCTTAGAGGCTTATAGTGCATTCTGCCGGGAGCATCTGTCTGCGTAGGAAACAGCTCATCTCGGTTTGCTGGTAAGATCAACCACATTCCTGTAATATGGGTCTTATAATAAATAACAAAAATGTATCAGTCTGGGACGGTACCTGCCTGGCCTACCTGCCTGGCCTCTCGACATAGTAAGAGTAGGGAATCCGTGCCTTTGACTCAGATATTTGGTTAGGTGTTATCATCAAAAGCCTCTACAGTCAACTTCCGATTGGCATTCTTGGAGAAGAACATGTGATTTTAATAATTCAAAAGAGCTAGTTATTTAGTAAATTTGGAAAGGACCTCTTTTTAAAAGTTCCTTTTCATTTTTTTTTTCTGTCTCTGGCACCTGGCACTCAGTAAAGCTCTGTCGAATAAAGGAAGTTAGCTGGTATCTGTCTTGGGGTTTTCTCTGGAACCAGCCCGTTAGATGAACTTCTAGGAAACAAGGATGATGACTTATTGGTTGATGTGTCACCTTGAATTAGCAGACTGCCTGGTATAGAGCGGGCCCTTAATGAGTGCTTATTGAATAATTGAGTCAGGAAGTTGAGGTTTTCATTAGGGAAACATCGCAGGGACCTGGGTGCTGCTGTGCTCATGGCGGCCTTTCCTGAGAGGCAGGAGGAATGTAGCTGTCTCACAAATAAACGTGAATAAAAGCGAACATGAGGAAAGTGACCGCTTTGATGCTTCCAGGCATTTTACACTTTTGCACAAGGATTTGCACAAGTAATTTGTTAAAAGTTGGTTCTTTATTTCTCTCTTGGTTTTTATTTTATGTCTTATGTAGTTATTACTGTGATTTCTGAATAGCCTATGGACAAGTATTATAGCTTCAAACTATCAATAGACATAAAAAGAAAAATCTATCCCTGTGTCACATAATTTTACCCTACCCTCTCGCTTCAAAACTTCAGACCTTAGGGGTACAGTGCTAGAAGAATATTTTCAAATTCAGTTTATATCTTTAGTGGTGATGAGCAAAACAAAAATAATGATTTGATTTTAGCATGCCTTCATGATTTTCTCTACACGATTTCCCTTCTTAATATGGTTTGCTTAAGTGATTACATTTCCTAAATATGCATTTTTTTCTTTGATACATATCAGTAGAAGTAAGAGATTTCGCGGGTAGCAGGAGGAAAGAAAATTTTCATAGGTAAATCCATAATGTGAACCACATGGAGAATTGAACGTTATCAATATCTTGAAGTCAAGTAAAGATTGCTGGAGTGCGAGTCACCAGATTTATGTTCGATACACAGTTTTATCACTAGTTAACCCTGTGACGGTGGACAAGTCGCTTAATCTTACACACCTGGTTCTCAGTGTTGTCACCTGCAACTTGAGGGTGTGGGATGAAATGATTTCGAATGTCCTAGTTCTAAAGAGCTAAACAAGGAAAATAGACTTTCTGCACCTCATCACCAGGTCTGTTCCACGAGTTATGTAAGTGACGGGAGTGTATGGTCTATATTCCCAGCTAGACTAGAATTGTCAGATTGTATTATATGCTCATAACTAATTTGATGTGCATAAATATAAGAGGCTTGTTGCTTTTAAAAGAAACATTATTACCATGAAAAGCACAACCTATACAAATAAATGAAAGAGACCCAAATAATACGCAGGATACCCAGGGTTAGAGTTTCTGCTGCTTAGCTCCTACCTGGAAATAGAAACTGTGCGTGTTGGTGGGATTGGTAGGTGGTGGGGAGATGATCACGGCTAGTGGACAGTGCGGGTGAACGTGGATGGTATTTTTAAAAGCGAAATATTAGAGAGTTCTTTAGCCTGTGGAGTTTGTATAGCCACACTGATTAGATTTTGCTCAGAGTCCCTAGAGAACTGATATGAACTTCGTATTCAGGTTCAGAGCACCGAGGTCCGAGCTCCTTGTTTTCTGGGTGCCATTTAAGCTTTGTAGGCCTCTCTGTGTATATGTGTTTTCCATCAGAAAAGAGGGTATTAAAAACTCAGTACTTAATATTTAAAATATTAAATGAGGCCATATTGTAAATGTGCTTTAAAACTAAAAATTTACTGCAAAAGAGAAACTATGTTTTAGTGGACAGACAGCTGTACAAATATATTTGTACAGACCTTGCATATATGATATCTATGGACGAGTGATGACACTTGAAACCAGTGAATAATTCACAAGCCTATTTTATGTATAGATGAGCGCTCAATTATTCACATATATGGGCTAGCATGAATAATTTAGGACCACATATCTATTAGACATCTACTATGTGCCAAGCGATTTGTTAGGACTGTTTAAAGATTTTAAAAGTGTAAAAGAGAGGTGCCAAACTCAAGGATCTTAATTCTGTCTAGAATAGATCTAGTTCTGCCGCCTGGGGTGAGCTCTTGCAATATCCTAAAGACTCAGTTTAAAAAACTGCTGTAAGCCATTCAGCCAAACTGGTTTCTCCTACCTCTTCCTGCTCCACGGGACACTAATAACATGTGGAGATTTCTCGAATACCTTGAAGGTAGAATTGTGGCTTCCCTTCTCATTTGTATCTCCAGGCCCTAGGGCAGCGCCTGAGAGTGATGGACTCAGCTTGGTCAATTTGGAATGAATGACTGATAGTCACATTGGAGAGATAAGATGTAAGTGTCAGGAAGGCCAGCTAATATTACAAAGCACTTTAAGATAACAGCATGTGCCAGTGAATGTTTTACATACTGGCCTGTAGTTCAAATGAGGTTTTGATGTGGCCAGGAAGTATGGAACTTGCAGATGGAGAATTAAAAATAATAATAATAATAATAATATGTATCTTTTTTCAAATAAGGTTTTTTAAATTGTTTGAGGTTTTTTAAAAAATTATTAGTTATAACTTGAAGGAAGTTAATTTGCTAGAAGAAATTTATGAAGCGTATCGATTTCCTATGGATAGCTGATTGCAGATAGTACAATAATTGGACTTTTTTTCCCTTCTGCTGTTTCTCCCCTTGAATGGAAGTTCTATACCTGACAGTGAAATGACAAACAGGTATCAAGAAGGGGAGAGAAGGTGTTAGCTGCTGAGGGTTGATTCTAGGGAAACTGCGTGTTTTGCTATTGGACTGGTCTCTGTTGATTTGTAGTATTTATTTTTTCTCTCATGTCAAAAGTTCAGTAACCAGAATCTTTAAGGGCTCAAGTTGAACTTTTGTTTTTACAGACTAGTCTTTTGAAAGTTGAATTTCTTGAGAACCAAACCTCAGACTATCCTTGGCCCTAACTGAAAGGAAAAACAAAAAATTCATTGTGTGTGGCAAATAGACTTACTGGTCTGCATCTAAAAAAATAAACATTAACATGATTTCTGCTTCTATTCAAGTTACTGTTGTTGTGCCAATATTATAATAATAGACTTTCCCTCTGACTCTCTGCCCTTATTTTTCCAAAGGTCACTTCCATTGTGCAAGCCTTCCAAATTATTAAATTTCCCAAATAACTGTAATCCAAGGCGTCTTTATCAGTAGCACCGAGAAGACACATGCCCATTCATAAGGGCATCCCTGCGAACTCTCCTGATCTTCATGTTGGCGCTTGGTTTCTAATAGGGATTTGCCTCTTAGAGATTCGTTCGCTACTTGTAGGCCCGATTAACAACTTAGAAAACTCCTGAAAAAAGTAGTGAAATCTTATTCTGACACATACACCTACCAGTGGCTGTGACGAAGCCATGGGGCCAGCTCTTGAGTCCTTACCGGTGCGTATCCACAGTAGCCTGTGGCAAACTAATAGCTTGCTTTGCTAGTGGTAAATTATACAATTGGGTTGAATTTTTTCTTCTTAAGTTCGATTCAGGGCAAGAAGTCGACTTTTCTGAATAGAGACTGTAATGGAGGTGGGAAACAACACAGAATTGTGCATGGCGAGTGGGAGGAGATGTAAACATTTAACGACAATCCAAAAAGCAGACAACATGTATGAGGTTAAGAGAAGGTTATAAAATCTTCGAATTTAGGATGAGAATAGTAAGACATGAAGGTGGTGAAGTAGGACCGGCAGATTAAGATACTAGGATTTCAGCGAGTATGCGTGAAATGACTGTGCCTGGAGATTTGAGAATGAACGAGGTGTTTAGCTGTGTCTGTACATCTAGGAGAGAGGAAAGACATTTTTCTCTTGCTGTTAATTTTGAGGGACCACCTGGCAAAAGGTACAGCTAAGGGAGCCCCTTGACGACATATTCTTGAAGGCTCAGAGTTGAAAGCCTGGAATGGGAGTGACGAGCTGGATGCCTCGGGAATGGCTGTGGGCCTGGAGGGTCGGTCCAGGAGGAGCACGGGGAGCTTTTCAGGAAAAGACACAGGGATGGCGTTGAGCACTAGCTGAGTGAGGCAGAGTGTGTGGGAGGCGGTTTGTAGAAGAAGGCAACTGATGTTTTTTGAGGACCTACTGTGTGCTAGGCACTGCCCTGAAGGCTCTGCGTATCTTGTCATTTGATCCTGACAAGAGATCTGAAATGCAGCTCTTTCCCCATTTTAAACGTGCAGAAACAGAGGCACAACATGGCTGTTACGTAACCCATGGTTGCATAGTGATCTGAAATGCAGCTCTTTCCCCATTTTAAACGTGGAATTAGGAAACAGAGGCACAACATGGCTGTTACTTAACCCATGGTTGCATAGCCCTTAGTAGTAGATTGGGGATCTGAACTTAGATCTGTATAAACCCAGAGCCAATTCTGTCTGTCAAGGTGGAGTTGAAAGGCGTCGAAGCAGTGAGGGTGGGCTTGCACACGGGTGGGCTCCCAGGCGTCCCTGGTCCTCCCTGGACTCGGTGCAGGGCCTGCTCCTGGGACCCTGGCTGGGTTTGTAAAAACCCTGGTCCTGCCACTTTTTACCTGCGTAGCCTTGGGCAGGTCACCTAAGTGTTGTGAGCTTTGGTGTCTTCACCCATGATTTGAGGTTACCGATACAAACAAACCTCTTAGAGTTGCTTGGAAGTTTAAATGCAGTAATGTCTAAAGCTTTAACATGTATTATTTCTCTTGCTTCTTCCTTTAGACCCATCTTATTATCTCTGGGTTGTAAT